CTTTATGCTTTAGCATCCTTGCATGCGTGTGAGTGACTGCCATGATAGCATGCTTACCATGAGGCTATGTGCTTATGTGATATAACTGCCTGAATGCCTGTGGATGAAGGTTGGGTTATTTAAATTGGAACAATTCATTCACCATGTGTTTTAAAGCCCACTAGATAGTGGCAAAATCATGTTTTCTAAACCCACCCGAGGGTGGCAAATCCACGTCTTAGCCTACTTGCGGGTAGCACCATCAAACCATTTTCAAAATAAACAAACATGAAATATTTTGTTCCAATTCAGGCGACCCAATCTATTCTTGTATGCTATGCGCATCACATAGTAAATCTAGGCTAATAACCGGAATAAGAACACACAATGTTTTCAAAACTTGATATCATGGTTAGTAGAGGCGGTTAGTAGAGGCCGATCTTTGATCGGGCGAGCGGGGGTGCTCACGAAGTGACCTTCCCCAATCGTACCCAAGTTCCCGAGCCGAGGCAACTTTGGTGATGACGGACACGTGGCCTTAGGCAACGAGTCACGGTTTCTTAAATTTCCCAAAATAAAATATTTAGGTGGCGACTCTGTATCTGGCAAAGCAGTCCATGTTTGGCACTTCTTTTCTAAAAATCTATTTTCTCAAAATGATTTGCTGGATTTGGACTCTTTGGTTCGGATTAAGAACCGTGACTATTTGATAGTCCTGAACTGTAGTGAGCCCAATATCGAACGGAACGGGGGACTCGTTCCTCCCGGGGGCATTCGGGGGCGTCTACAGTTTCTGGCGACTCCGCTGGGAATTTAGAGAACTTGACTCGAATTCATGATATCTGGTTTTGACTACACTTGTGTGTTTCTTTGCATTGCATTTGCATTGGTGCGCCTAGGACATCGTGTTTGCCATCTGCTATTCCTGAACAGTTTGCCGGAGGCTTGTCTTGTCAAGGCATGACCATAAGGCTGACCGGTTGTGGGCTCTACCAGTATGGGAACACAAACCCCAGTTTTACCGGGGTACCCTTTTTGACCATTCGACCTAGTGCATATTCGGAATCCATTGTGACCATTCCAAACTAGGACAGGTTGCTTACCCGTTTATAGGTTGTTTGAAAACCGCTGCGTGCGTAGTGAAACCCTAGCTCCTGACAAAATAGGACAGGGAAACCCTACCCCAACATATGGGTGTTTTTGGCTCTCACTTATCTGTTATGTGTTGTAAGAGTGAGTCTCTACAGGGGAAATGCATGTATCAGTTTATGAGTTTGGGCATCAGGCCTACGGGCATCAGTCAGTGTTTGAGAATCAGTTATCTGCGGGTATCAGAGATTCAGTTTTCGAGGACAGCAATTCAGGGATAATGATCAGTGTTTGAGGACAGTGTGTATTCAGCTTATCGACCGTGTGTTGTTATGCTCGGCTGTGTGTCATGCATTTACTTTAAGCTGTTATGCTGTCTGTATATCTGTTTATTTATTTCCTTATTGCTTTATTTATCTTTTTACTAGGGCAGTTTTAGCACAATTGCTTCCGACCTAGTCGATATTCCCCAAGCACTTTGGACAAGTGGTCGCCGGCTCAATCGATCAGAGGATCTGGTTGACGGACAGCCAGTGTTTCATTCTCTACCCCCAGTTGTCAGAAGAAGGTCAAGAAGACGCAGTGTGTCTGAGCAGAGGTTACCAGAACAGTGGTCTACTCTAGCAGTGAACAGTCGGGCTGAGGTTTTAGTTTCTGCCATAGAAATACACATACCAGTCAGTCAGCAGGATCAGCAGAGTGTAGCCGGAATAGAGGAAATGATGCGTCAGCTCCAAGAGAGCATGAAACAAATGCAGGAGGACGCTGCTCGCCAAGCAGAGTTCTCTAAACAGCAGGCCACAGTCATGGCTCAGCAGGCCGAGCTGATCACTAGACTGCAACAGCAAAATGCAGCATCAGCCTCACATCCAGTTCCTCCCCCACCAGGGATCCTGTTACTAGAGCAGGCACCTACTGTCCAGAATGTCCTGCCAAACACCCGGAACACCTTGCCAAATGTCCAGAACATCCATGAGGACACAGACCTTCCAACGGGGCCGGCCCCGCCCCCACTTCTGCCTCAACTGTCCAAGGCACCTACGCCTATCAACCAACCGGACTCTCCCTTCGAGTTCGAAATAGACCATACAGCTCTGAAACTGAGCAAGCTCGAGAAGCTTTTCAAGAAATCACAAGGGGTAAAGGCTATTCCGGATATCGAGGACGGATATACCGATGTGGCCGTAACATTGCCAGATAGATTCAAGATGCCGCAGATTTATTGTTTCGACGGATTCGGGGATCCCATGGTCCACCTCCGGTTATTCTCAGATATACTGCGGCCAATGGGCCTAACCCGACCACAAAAGCTTTTGCTGTTCGGCCAAACCCTGTCGGGTGTGGCCGCTATCTGGTACGCAAAGTTGGAAGATGAGGTCAAAAGAAGTTGGGATGAAATGGCTGAGGCCTTTGTCGCACAGTACTCGTACAATACCCAGATCGAGATTATAACCCGTGATCTTGAAACAACGAGGCAGGAGCCCAAAGAGACTTTCTTCGATTTCGTAACTCGGTGGAGGGCGAAGGCATCGATGATGACTTTGAGGCCCACTGATAAGGACCAAATCAGGATGATTGTGCGCAATCTCCAACCAAAATTGATGCAGAAGATGATTGTACTCCCCTTCCCCACCTTTTCGGATCTACATGAGATGGGGGTACAAATCGAGGATGCGATGAAGCAAGGTCTGATTGACCAGGACAGGGAGCAACCCCGGAGAACATTTAACCGCAACAATAACGCAGGCCCGAGTGGCGCTGCAACCGCAAGAGCTTCGGAGGTCAGCATGGTCGCCACCATTCCCCCTCCCCTTCCAAGGCCCATGGCAGCCACACCCTTCTCCGGTGCATCCGGAAGCAATACCCAAACCACTAAATACCAGCCCAGAGGCCAAAGAACCTTCACCCCACTGTACATTCCTTTGTCTAAGGCTCTGGGGATCTTAATCAGAAAGGGGCATCTAAAACCCCTGGAGCCGAGGCCATTACCAAATCCACTTCTACCCTCTCACAACCCAGCCAAGTACTGCGTGCCATATCACCAACGCAAACAAAAACCAAATGATAAACAGAAACACAAAATGATATCAAGAACTAGAACCATACAAAAAAACAAAAAAATAAAAAAAAAAAAAAAAAAAAAATAACATACATAAACAAAAAAACAAAACATAAACAATACAAAAAAAAAAAAAAAAAAAAAAAAAAAAAGAAAAAAAAAAAAAAAAAAAAAAAAAAACAAAAATAAAAAAAAAACAAAAAAAAAAAAAAAAACAAAAAAAAGATAAAAAATAATAAGAAACAAAAAAAAAAAAAAAAATAAAAAAAAAAAACAAAAAAAAAATAAAAAAAAAAAAAAAAAAAAAAAAAAAATAAAAAGACAAAAAAAAAAAAAAAAAAAAAAAAAAAAAAAAAAAAAAAAAAAAAAAAAAAAAAAAAAAAAAAAAAAAAAAAAAAAAAAAAAAAAAATAGATTAAAGAATAAAAATCAATAATAATAACCAAAACAACAAAAACAGAAAAGAAAAAGAGAAAAAAACAAAAAAAAAAAAAAAAAAAAAAAAAAAAAACATAAACATCAAAACAATAAAAAAAAACAAACAAAAAATAAAACACAAAAAAAACTAAAACACAAAAAAAAATACAAAACACACACACACAAAATAAATACAACAAAAGACACAAATACACACAAAAAAAAAAAGGAAATAAACAAAAAAATAAATCAATAAAAAAAAAATAAATCACAAAAAACAATAAAAGAAAAAATAAAAAAAAAAAAAACAAAAAAAAAAAAAAAAAAAAGAAAAAAAGAAAAAAGAAAAGGAATAATGCTGATACTAAACATAATACAAAAGAAAACACTAAGACCCTATTATACCTACCCATCCTAAGCCGCGATGATAGCATCTTACTCACTGATCCTGACTGTCTCCCTGCTAAATTACGCTCTATTGAATCGTCAATGATTGGAACATAACATCCACAATAAACCAGAGCCGACGTCGGGTGAACCATCTCAGTTAGAGTGAGGCAAGGAGACATCGACCGACAAATTCTTTGTAGTAGTCTTGGGTATATTGTGAACTAGCCAAGTATTTTTGTTTGGGGAGATTAATGCTCCGATGAGCCAAATGTGTTATTACAGTCTTGTCTAAGACAAGCCGATTTGTGTCGGGGGTGTAAATTGCCATGAGTTAAGATTTGTAGTATTTGGTGTATTCTTGAATGGATTGGGAGTGGAATGTTTGGGGCGGAACGAACAGCGGCAGAGCGACCAATCAAACTATGAGAACAAGATACTGTCTGTACGGTGGACGTATTTGTCCAACCTACAGTGGTATTTACGCTACACGTTTCTGTTTTATTCTCTTATTATTATATTGTGTATTTGATATATTATGCTGTTCTCGTTCATATTAAGAATTTCAGTAGGGCAGAGCTGCTACTGTGCAAGTCAGTGTGGAGCATTCAGTTTTTATGTGATGGTAAATTCTATTTTTAATGTTTCACTGTGTCATATACGCATTGTTTCTCTATTTTTATGTGTTGGTTAATTTTAGTATATGACACATAGTCCTGATTTTAAAATAGTGGAGTTGGAGAATCCCACCAGAACAGGCCTGGTAGGCTATGATGTTGTTAATCTCAATCATGATCGTTCGTTATGTTGAGTGTGCTCGTAGAGTGGCTTTGTTTATTTTCTAATTGACACAAGAAGGAAGTCGTCACTTTCAGTGCTCTTTAGTTTTATTTTAAAAAATAGTTTTTTTATCGTTTTGTTATTTGTATGTTTTTGTATAAATCTCTAAATTGACGGTTCTAAGAGTCTAGGTTTGTATCATTTGTCTTTTAAAAAAATTATTAGAGATTTTTACGAGTGAATAAAGTTCCGCCTATTGTTTTTTGCATGTGTTTTGAGATGGAAATTGAATTTTAGGTAGAGATTTGATTTCTTATTCGTTGTTTGTTTTTTCTTTTCCTTT